AAAGTAAAAGTTTTGAAAATGGCTGGCAGAGTGCTTGGTTCAATCCCTAGTATTTGAAAAAAGAAAAAGAAAAAGAAAAAACCCTACAAAAACAACAACAAAAACTCCAAGAATTCTACATATTTCATGTTGTAAAGAATCCTCTCAGCATTTTCACTGTCATGCTAGCTTTCCATGATGGCCAGGAGCAACTTTGAAGCATTGCTCTTCAGTTCTAACACAAGGTCCATCTGCTTCTTTCCCAGAGGATTGATGTCATTGAATATCAGGGCTGTGATCTACATATTTCTATAGGCAGATTACCTATGTATTTGTAGAAATTCTCTTCTTTCAGTATCCCCTTGACTTCTTGCCCTACATTATTCTGTTCTCTGCTCACAGCAACCACTGTATTGCTCTCATCCTTCAGTGCACTTACTACTGCTCAGCCCCATTTTCTACCAATTATTTATCCTCCATAACAATGTAAGTTTAATGAAGGCAAGGACTTTATTTTTCTCACTACTGAATCTCTGGTCTTTATAATAGTTCTTGAAACACAAGAAGTGGTCAATAATTACTGTTTTGAGTGTCATCAATCTTGTTTACTTTGTGATTTTAAATATATATACATAAAATTTATATATTTATATATATTTATATATATTTTTATATATAGATAGATAGATAGATATAGATAGATATATCCAGGGCCTTCTCACTGTCCTATATCCCCAGTCCATCTTTTTTATTTTGTTCACTAATTTGTGAAGTTGTCTGGGAAAGGCATGAGCTTGCAGATCTACAGCAGAAATCCAGCAGGGCAAACATTAAATCCCACAGTTCATAGTTCGTGTCCAGCATCCACAGCAATCTGTGACAAGATGTGAACTCCAAAGGGTGTAGATGACCCCATCCTAGGCACTGCTGGAGGTGGTGGTTGAAGCCTTCGTGGCCTCTCTCTCGGGCTGGTTTTCCTCAGATGGTCCACATTCCTGGCTTTTCTAGCATACTGGCGTCTCCACTGAACTTTCGTTTCACTCACAGCTTCACTCAGAGGTCTAATTCCTGGCCTCCCAGGCCTTCTGAAATCCTAGGGGGAAGCCTTCCTTCCTCACCTCCCAACTTTTGCATTCTGCATGCATGTAAAACCAGCACCTCATGGACGATGCCAAGGTCTGCTGGACCAATAGCCTGGCCCTTTTCCATCTTGCTGGTGGTTGCAGAAGCCTCTGAGTGCCTGAATTGGTGGGTGAACCAAATCCTGGAGAACAAATTCCCTAGGCAGCTACCATTCCTTAGCAGGGTGTTGCGAGGCTCTTTTCTCAAAACAAAGTCTTTCACTTTTCAGCAATCACTTTCTCCTCTGCTCTATCTTTGCAGGCTCCAACTTTATAGGAGATTTCATTCTGGCCAAACTTGAAACATTTTAAATCATTCTGCTAGGTGGTTTGCTCTTGATTCACAATATAGAGCCGGCTAAAAGCCTGGAACAGTAACCAAGCCACAGCCTGAATGTTTGTGTGTCTTAACATTTCCTCCACAAGATGAATTAGTCTGCCTTCTTTAATCTCAGTCTCCTGAAAGATCTCAAACTTTCTTCCAGGGCATAGTACACAGGACCTAGAGTCCAACTGCCAGTGCAGTCCTTTTTCCCAACTGAAACATCTTGAGCCTGGTCTTTCCCAGCTGAATTTCAGTCAACACTTTTATCTTCTGAGCTCCAACCAGAATCTCCCATCAAGCTTGGCTCACAGCACTGTAGGGCTGTTTCTACAGTCATCATCTTTAAAGTTTTCCAAACTCCTCCCACAAGACGGTTTCTGAACCACATGGTTAGGTAGCATTACAGCAACAACCCCACTTGTTTCGTACCAAAATCGGTCTTAGTTACTTTGTCATTGCTGAGATACAATACCCGACACCCATAACTCCAAGGGGGAAAAGTTTAATGTTGGCTCATAGTTTGTAGAGGTTTCAGTCTATAGCTGGCTGTCTCCAAGGCAAGGCAGCATGGCAGAGGAGGCTTGCTTATGGCATTGTGATGGGAAGCAGTGAGTGGTTAAGGGAGGAGGGAGGAAGATGTACTCTTCCTGACCTACCACTAGTGACCCAACTCCTCCAACCTGGCTTCATTCTCAACATCACATTTAGTTATAAACTCATCAGTGGATCACTGGGCTAATCCACTGATGAATATCACATACCCATGATCCAGTCATCTCCCCAAAACCCCACCTATGAGCACATGAGGCTTTTGGGGGACATCTAGATATGAATCATAACATTTAGGGGGGACATCTAGATATAAACCGTAATACCTCATGAGTGGGCCTGAAATTTCCCCAAATCATTTGGCTAAGGCTCCTTTCTTTTCTCACTGGTCACTGGCCAACTTTTAATATTGTGATTCTATTTTCTAAATTATCATGATGCTGAACTCTTTATAATAAGAGATTCTTTCTCTGGGTGTATTAACACACGGGTTGTGTTAGAGTCTATTCTTGCTAGTATCGTTGTATTACATTGGAAATTAAAGCTTTATTTTTTAAAGGGGTAACTAGATGAGATGGTGGATAAGTTAACTAGCCTGATTGTGGTAATCATTTCACAATATTATGGCATATACTCTAAGTATGTGGCAATATTTATTTTTCAGTAATACCTTAATGAACCTGGAAACAAAGAATTTATTATGATTCTGACATCTACCCAATAACTTTACTAATGCATTACCTCAATTTTATTTGGAAAATTTAATGAGCGCCAGATAATATAATAGACATGGATGATGCAATAATGAGAAAAACAGACAAAAGTCTTGTCACAAAAACTTTACATGAGGAGTCCACCTGGGATACTTTCTTTGGCTGAACATCATGCCATGATGTTCATTCTCTCTCTCTCTCTCTCTCTCTCTCTCTCTCTCTCTCTCTCTCATATAAAATACACAGACAAATAAAGTTCTATTTTTTTAACCAGCACACAAAATTGTTGAGCCAGTTCTGTGCTCTTTGATTTTGCTCTGTGAAGTTGTGGAACAATCAAAACTACTTATTCTCCACAATAAGAAAAGGTCAAAGTGGCCTGATGAATTTGGGTTAAACAGGGATATACGAGTAAAATAAATAAGATCCCTTTAGGCTTGTTCTATCAGTTCTTTAAAACTTTACAAAATCATTCGTTCATCCTTATGAGGCAGCAGGGATTGCTTGGAAGTGTTCAGTAAATTCCGCCACCTTCCTGAATTCTGACATTTATTTCTCTCCTTCACCTGCAGGATCAGTCCTAGCAAATTGTTCTAAGCATAGTTAATACAAAGAAATCCTCACCACTACTAATCACAATTATCTTTATTTTTCCTCCCTTTTTCTTTTCCCTAAGGGTTTGATGTTTTTTCTTGGGTGGGCAGAGTAGCCAGCTTTTGTTAATTTGAAACTTTCCTTGTGTGATTCCTTGTTATTTATAGGACAGGTTTTTATTCTATAATCAAAGCTGGAGTTAAAATAGTTAAAATAGGCGCTGTCTTTCCTCACAGCACCTTAAATGCCATCTTCAAAACATGGCCCTTTCTCAGGTTGATTTAACAGCTCATTTGTCTTCAAGATGGCAAGCTAGAGGTGGGCAGCCTATAGAGACTAATTTGCTTTTTGAGAATTAGATTTTTATCCAACTCCAAACTATGGAAGACTTTGAACTGGGGAAAGACAAGGAGAGAGGTAGGCATGTTTTGTTTGTTTTGGGTGGTAGTGGGAATTGAACCCAGATGCTCTTATAGTACTGAGTTACATCCTCACTTTTAAAACATTTTTCTAACTTACTGATTTGAGACAGGACCTCACTGAATTTCCCAGGCTTGCCTCTTCCCTGTCTCCTGAGAGATTGGGATTACCGGTGTGTACCTGGCTATGCATTTTTGAACCTTCGTTTTTGGTTGTTGTTTGGAGAAGAGCTGTAGGTAACTATAGGCAGATGACCGATGAGAAGGCAGCTACAGTGACTTGCAGTGATCCTGGGTTAGAAATATGGATGAGAAGATGAGAGGGCATAAGAATTTGGGGGATATTTGATGGTGCCAGGAATAGTTTTAGAAACTTTACCTAGGGAAATGAAAGATGGGTAAAAATCAAGAAGAGCACTGGGAGTTTTGGCCAGAGCAACAGAATGGATATTGAAGCCATTCCCCCAAATAGCCAATAATGTGAAGGAAGTTCAGCGGTGAATATGATGTCTTCAGTATAGACAGGTTGAATGTGGGATATCTTTGACCATTAAATAAACTGAAATTACTAATAATCTCATTATTCTAAGTGTTAAATATTTTCTGTAGCTTACCTTTCTGAAAGCCCACCTGCCTGCCTGCCTGCCTGCCTGCCTGCCTGCCTTCCTTCCTCCTACCCACCCTTCCTTCTATTCTTTTTGGTTCTGTGATAGAACCCAGGGAAAATGTACTCTTTTAAAATGTTACATCTCTCCCAGTTTCCCAGCCAAAACTTAATTAATTTTAGTTCCTCAAACGGATAACGCTCTCTGTAATCTCAGGGGCTTTGTGCAAAGCTGTTTCGGGAATTATTTTCTTCTCCTTTCTGTGCATTCAATGAAGAGTTAGTGAGGACCAGGTTGGTGCTAGTTAGTAGGCTAGAACTGTGAGCAGAAGAAGACTTTGGCTCTTACCTCACAGAATTTATTGTATAATGAAAGAGTTAAATGCTACTTTAACAATTACGTGAGGGAAATTGAAAATGAGTTATGAGCAGCTAATGGACATACCTACTAGGAATGAAAGCCTACAATGGGGTTTAAATGTAGGAAAGGCTTGCTTGAGAAAGTGAAAACAAGTGATTAAGAGAGGAAGAATCTTTGAGAATACCCTGTGGAGGAGTGTAACTTGACACATTACGGGGAACTAGGGAAAAAATACACTTCACCGAAAGATAGCCAGGAGAGAGAATTGGGGTGGAGAGTTGCCCGATTTGTTCCGAATCAGCCGCCATCCTGGAGCAAGTGGCTACGACCTCATCGCACAGATTTCTGGGAGTTGTAGTCCCAATTTATGCGAGTAGGCATGGCGGCCTGCGTTGTAGCGGGGAATGGGAGCACTTTGGGCTTGGCGCGGAGCTTAAGAGCGTCTAGAGTGCTGCTTCTTGGGCCAGCCTTTGTCGCCCGCTGTAAGTGGAGCGGGGGCTCAAGCGCTGAGGAGCCGGAGGGGTCCGGGGTCAGGCTGGTGGGAGGTGTTCTAGGCAGTCTGGCGACCCCGCTGTTGTTCTTCGGGGTATCGAGATGGCGTGGTTCAAGGAGTTCAGGGCTAGCGCGAGAGTCGTAACTTCCGCGGTTTTCTCCTGTAGGGATTCTCTCTGGTCCGGCCAGGCAGCAGAAGTCTGGGACTTCCGAGCCCGGTGCGTTCCAGCCGCCGCCGAAACCGGTCATCGTGGACAAGCGCCGACCTCCGGACAAGGAGGGGAGGTGAGGCCGGGACCTGGGCGCGAAGCCGGCCGGCTGCAGCGGAGCCCGGAGCTCCCACTGCAGGAGCTGGTGTGTGGGATTCAGCCGTGGACAGAGTGCATCCAGCTCCGTTTTGTTTTCCCTGCTTCTCCCCTATCCTGCTTTGATCTCTTCCTTAAGCCACAACTACACGTACAGTAGGAGTAGGGATTCCCCTACTGTTAATGTTTTATAATGAGTTTAAAATCAGTTACAGAAAATAAGAATATTAATTTTAAAATCAGTTTGCAATTGGCGTTTTTGTCTTTTCCAGCATAATTTGTTGTAATTTATAGCTTAGTGTGAGGCCTGTGGGTACAGTCATAGGCTTTGGAGACTGCCAGACATACCTGCACTTTAATCTGACTTGATAGATATTTAACTAATATAATAATGGGTCACTTATTTGCCTTCTTCAAGTTTTAGTTTCTTTGTAAAACAGAGATAATGACACCAAACTCATCTAGTTATTATAAAGGTTACTTTATGCTACAGTGTTAGCATTTTGTTACTGTGATGAAATACCTGAGGTACTCAGTTTAAAGGAAGAAAGATTTTTTTTTTCTTCATGCTACTAGTACATGGTTGCTTTTTGCTGTCCCTGTATCTTGGCCCCTGTGGAGAGTCAGTACTTCACTGCAGCAGTGCATGGGCTTCCCAGGAGCATTGTAGGTTGGCACTATGCCTTTATCATATGGATCTTTAGGAGGACATTTAAGATCAAAACCACAATAGCTATTTACGTGTTTTATAAAAGTGCCAGATGAGTAGTCAGTAATTGTTAGCTATTATGAGTATAGCAATTTAAAAAACAGTAGTTTTAGAAATAACATTGGCTTCTTATTTAGAAAATGAAGAATAAAATGTGTCAACAGAATAGTTTCCATTTCTTTGTAAAGCAACATTTTTTCTTCTTGTGGCCTAAGTTTGCTTCTTTTTTTTTTTGGTACCGGGGATCGAATTTGGGTCCTTGCACTTGCGCAGCAGGCGGTGAAACCACTGAGCTAAATCCCCGGCCCAGGTTTGCTTTTAATTTTTAAAAATTTATATTTTCACAGGTTCTTGAGTCCTGAATTTATTCCTCCAAGAGGAAGAACAAGTCCTCTGAAATTTCGAATAGAAAGAAAAGATATGTTAGAAAGGAGAAAAGTACTATACATTCCAGAGTTCTACGTTGGTCAGTAAGAGCTGAAGTCTTTTTTTCTTAGAAGTTGGAGGGTTAGTTTTCTTTGTATAAGAAGATTGTTCTTTATATATCTGCATTTTTTCCTTTTGGGATACTTCTAATAATATATTAAAATATTTAGGAAGGTAAATTATCTAGAAATGCTATTTGTTTTTGCATTTCATATAAAAATTCACTTCTCTTATGAATTTGTAGGAAGCATACTACGTGTTACCACAGCTGACACATATGCCCAAGGAAAATCTAGCCAGTTTCTGGGAATTTGCATCCAGAGGTCAGGAAGTGGACTTGGAGCTACTTTTATCCTTAGGAATACTATTGAAGGGCAAGGTAAGTTTTATTTTATTATTTTAATTGTCTAGGAAATGTTATCTCAGAATTCCTTTTTGTTTTCTGTTTCCTCAGATAAGACATTTGACACTTGAACATGAACATATATAGATGCTCTAAGAGAAGACTTGGGAGTCTGGGACCTTAGAATGGACTGGGAATTGTGTTCACTTGCTTAAATACAGTTGGTGGTCTGCATTTTCTTGGAGGCTTCTTTTATTATATGGTCAACAGCCATTAGAAATAGACTCTCCAACATGGCAACATCAAGTGAGGAAACAAGTAACTGTAAAGCAGTGTAGGGATATTTCTTTTAGGAATAACCTATGAGGACATTGAGCTAAGCACAGTGATGCTCCTAAAATAAATGCCCTCATTTTGCTTTATATTATGATACTAAATAGTCTCTATAATTATTCTGTTTTAGAAGATTTGGGGGCATTTAAAAGATAGTATATTTGCATACTAGGCCTAATAAGGCATAGTAATAAGGCAGAGGAACTAATGGTAATATTCTAGAAAGACTATGAATTAGAATGGCAGAAGAAATCAATTTTTCATACTTAAAGATGTGTGGTTCATGATTATGAACAGTGAAGTATTATCTTCAAAGAATCTGGTAAGGTGAGAGCAATTGCTGTGCTGATTATCCTGGGATGACCCATGGAGCTCTGCATGTAGGAATTCAGCCAGCCTTATTTAATCAGAAATGTGCCTTCAATCAGGCTTTGCATACTTAAATCCTTTTCATAGAACAAAGTAAGCATAAGTGTGAGTTGATTAACTTGAGACTTTTCTTCTTGAAAATTGAAATGTTAATAGTTTCTGCCTCACAGAGTTCTAGTCAGTCCACTGTGAGATACTATATGTGAAGTACTGGACACAGAATTAGCTCCCTCTTGCCATTGTCTATAGCTTGTTTAAGTATTATAATCAACTTTGATCCTTGCTTTGGTGGTTCTTTCTAGTCTAATGGCTTTATATACCATCTACGTGCTGCTAACTCCAAGTTGATATTTTTAGAACTGACTTTTCCAGTTCCAGATGTGGACTTGCACTGTCTCTTCAGTGTCACCATTTGGATGTCTTACATGAATAAAAAAATTGAGTACAGACCTCTTTATTTTTCCTCATAAGGTGTTCCCTTTTATTTTTGGAATTTGGGACAGTTGCTAAGTTGCCAGGCTGGGCTCAAACTTGAGATCCCTCTACCTCAGACTTTTAGAATGCTGAGGTTACAGCCACATGCCACCAGGCCTGGGTTACATTCCTGGTATCTTAATCTGCTTGTACTACTAAAAGTGAATGCCCAGAATGTTCTAATTTATAAAGAAACAGAGGTTTATTTCTTACAGATAAGAAGGCTGGAAAGTCCAAGATCAGGGCAGGTTACTTTTCTGGTGAAGACCCTGTTCCCTGCTTTTAAGATGGCACTTTGTTGCTGTGTGCCCTGGAGGGGACAAATATTGAGTTGTCACCTGGTAGAAGATAGAAGGGCAAAAAACAGCCTGGACTAGTTTTGTCGAGCCCCTTCATAAAGCACTAATCCTTTTTTGAGGACACAAACCCTCATGATTTCCTAAATGGTCTCACTTAATACCACCATGGGATTTCAGCATGAATTTTGGAAGGACAGATTCAGACCACGGCACTTGTTGACCAAGTTACTGTGTTCCTGCCAATTGGGCCCTCCCTGCTTTTTCCAACACGGCAAGTTTTTAACAATGCAGGACTTTTGTATTTGTTGTTCCTTCTGCCTGGAGCATTCTTCATCCTTTATTGCATCAGTTCATAGGTCATCTTCTCAGAGAGACTTCCCTTGACCATACTATTTAAGGTTGACCCTCCCAGCCACAATGCCATCACTGTCTTGTCTTCACGATATTGAACTGCCTTGTTGGTATTTCTTTGTTTTGCTTTTGTCATCCACTAGAATTAAAGCTTCATGAGAGAAAGATCTTAACCTATTTCAGTTTATGAAACTGCTATGCACAGTTCCTAGGTCAGGGATTGGAACAAAACAGATATATATAGTAAATATTGGATTGAATCCTGGTATAAAACACCTGAAGCTTTATCATACATAATAGTATTTTTATTCTCTTGAGATTATTTCAGAAAACCTCAAAGTACATTCTTACCTTTGTTTGATAATATAAGTGGCATATATTATATTACTACTTAAAAGCAATTTGATATGCTCACAGCTTGTACCTATCTTGCTTCATTTGGAAGGCCGTTGGGTTAAAAATAGGCCATCTTTAAGAGGGGCTTCTAAACCAAAGGTAAAACTTAAAATTACATTTTTTTATATCATTAATCTTGTTAGTAATGGACAATTTTTAATCAAGTAATTGGGATATTACTTGAGACCATGACATGGTGATATATTCACTCATACTTTCTCCATGTTAATGCCTGTTATCAGAATTGAAGAGATATGTGACAACATATTTATAGAAAACATTTTTCTTTAGACTTTATTCTAATCCAGGTTTTCTCATTTTTCTTTGTATTTCAGCTTTCATTTAAATAGATTTTAGGTTTTTTTCCACTAGCCATCTTAAAAATTACAAATGTATGTCATATTTCCCACATGCAAAATGTTGTGCTAGTTCTTTGGTGAAATAGCTTTTACTATAGTTTGAGGCATTTACAGGAATCTGGACTTAAGATTGTAAGAATATGTTGTCTTTTTAGGTGTTGAGATTTGCTTTGATCTGTATAATCCTCGAATCCGTGAGATAGAAGTGGTCAAATTAGAGAGACGGCTGGATGATAACTTGCTATATTTACGAGATGCCCTTCCTGAATACAGCACTTTCGATATAAATATGAAGCCAGTAACAACAGAGGTTGACCAAGAAGTTCCTGTTAATAAGGTATGGGTTGCACATTTGGAGATGAAAGTATAAAATAGGAATTATCTTAATGAAAACTTCAGAAAGAATTTTGCTTACGTCTTGGCAGCCTAATTAATCCTTTTCTTTATTTTTTCCTTAGCTGAAAGTAAAAATGAAGCCTAAGCCTTGGTCTAAACGCTGGGAACGTGCATATTTTAATATTAAAGGAATAAGATTTGATCTTTGTTTAACTGAAGAACAAATGAAAGAGGCTCAGAAGTGGAGTCAGCCATGGCTTGAATTTGATATGATGAGGGAATATGATACTTCAAAAATTAAAGCTGCAATATTGGATGAAATTGAAACATCAAAAAAATCCTGATTCTGAGATGCATTTGGTTACCTAAGGAGGATGTATTGGCTTTCTACAGGATTTATCTTGAAACAATTTAATTTTATTTGTAAGAACGTAATCCTTAAATAAACTAAGCATTCTTTTTCTAAATTACTTTTCAAAAAATAAAAATTTCACAGCAGTTTATTACTGAAAAAGAGAATATACGTGTCAAATGGTCCATTGTTCATTCCCTTATTAGAGACGAAGCTGCAGTGGAAGTCAGCATCATCAGAATGAGTGTCAGTCAGCATGGAATCTGAACCAGGGAAATGGGTGGGATGGTATTTTTGAATTGTGAATTAAATAATCATAGAACAAAGTATCAGTTAAAGTGAACCCACTGTCAGGTTAAGAAATGGAATGTTTACTAAGATATAAGAAGACAGCTATTTGTCATTATATCCCTTGTTCTAGATATAGACATCATCCTGATTGTTAATCGTGTTTTAGTTCTATCTAAATATCTAACTATATCTTATTTCTAAAAAATACATTTAGTTTGGAAAAGCCTATTGGCAAGTATAAAAGGATTCTGTTGTCATTATTACATAAACATATCAAGAAGAACATGACAGTCTTCTGGTTTCAGCATCCCTGAAAGTACAAAAGCACTTTTGAGGAAGTTCATGGTTAAGGTTATGAGTGAGTTCTGCTGACAAAAGGCTTAACCTGCAGCATCTGACTGGGTGAACTGGGCAACTGATATCTGGCAGAAGTAAATAATATTTTCTGACTTTAAAGAGCATGGTGAATTGAACTCCAGCTCTTAGTCAAAATAGAATTCTTCTAGGGAGTGGTATGAGCATCAGGATAATCCATGCAGCTGACTGTATCATATTGGTAGAGATTAGCTTACATGTAATCAAGTACAGTGGTAGCCTGGATCTTGAAAGCAAACCTCAACCTGTCAGTTGAACCATGGTTTCTAGTAGTGCCTACTTGTTTTGGGACTTCTTGTATTGTTTTCTGAATTGTGCTTTTCATTTTGCTGGCCACTAACATTTTGGTGGAGCTCATTCTTTGGTAGCTTCTAGAGAAAATTATGTATGGCAGTAAAAGTTTTGAGACCTTGCATATCATAATTTTATTAATAACAACAATTTTAGGTGAGAGGTAATTTTCCTATATAGTTTTAAAGGTATTGCTCCACCATTTGTGTTTCCCTGTTGTATTGAGAAATCCAAAGATATTTTGATTTCTGTTCCTTATACGTATATGACTTGTAGAAAGTATTAGTCTTCACAGTAACGAAATTTTCAGTGATGTGCTTTGGTGTGGGTGTATTTTTATCCATTGTTTGGGTCTTTGGTAATACTTTTCAGTGTAACCCATACCATTCCTAGGAAAGAACATTTGTTGAGTTCTCTGCTTCTTCCTGAAGCTATTTGGATTTTAGATATCCTTTACATTACTGGCTGTCCATTTTTTTAACCTATTTTTTTGTTTTTTAGACCTAGCATTTCTTTGCCATTTAAAATCTCAGGACTTTTTTATTTTTTAATTTGTGAAAGTTCCTCTTTATGTAATGCCTTTATTTATTTTATATCCTTATCTATGGTTTTATTCTGTTAGCGCTGAAGGTATGAGTTCTTTTTTTCTTTTTGAAATTGTTTTCCTGCAACTTCTGTTTCCTCTATGTTTGTTTTTTGTGTCTGTGTATTTGCTTTCTATGTATTAGGCCTTTCCAGGACATCACTCCTTGGCTCTCTACTTATGGTTGAATGGGAAACAGACAGCTTGTAAAGCCTTCAAGTGGAAAGTTGTCCTTAAGATTGTTTAAATGGGATTTTGGGGGGAGTCTAACATGTATTTCTTGGTCAGATTCTCTAGAGGATTCCAATCTTCCTAGACAGAGGGTCTGCCAAATGGCAATATTCAGCCACTGCTTTGATCTTTTTCACTCAGGGTTAATACAACCATCTAACTACTTTAAGCAAGTTATATATAGATCATCATCTAATATTTAGATGATTTGCTCACATAGCTTCTTAAATTTTTTTTAATTGAACCCAGGTTTTGCATGTTAATCATATGCTCTACCATTAGAGCCTATCTCAGTATAACTGTTTGTCAGATTCAGCATTTGCTTGATTGCTTCACATTTTTCAGTTTTCCAGATTTCTGACAAAAGCTGATTGTGACCTTGTTTTTCAGTATTTTCATGGGAAGTTACAATCTTGGATTTGCCTGTTCTACCATATTGCTTGTGTGTGTGTGTGTGTGTGTGTATGTGTATTTAACATGTCTGTCACTTAATTTTTATTAATAACATTTGCTATATGTAATAACTGCATTCATTGTGGAGAGTTGTTCTGTGCACAACCATCTTGTTTTTAATACTCTCCACCTTTTGGTTTCCTCAGTTGCAGAAAGATTTACCTGTTTCCTATTATCTTTTATTTTGCTCTTTAAAATATTTATACTTTTGGTTTCTCACTTAAAAACTGCAATATTTAGGGTTGTGTCTGATTTATTTCACTTAACATTATTGTCTCTAGGTGCATCCATTTTCCTCCAAATGACTCAAATTTATACTTTCTGGCAGAGTAGTACTCCATTGTGTATAAATACCACTTTTTCTTTATCCATTCATCTGTTAATGGACATAAAGGCTGCTTCCAAGATTTAGCTGTTATGAACTGTGCTGCTGTATAAAGATGGGTATGTTATGTATCAGTGTAATATGACGTCTTTAACTTTTCTGAGGAGATACCTAGAAGGGGAATAGCTGGATTGAATGGAATTTCTAGTTTTAGTTTCTTTGAGGAATCTCGATACTGATTTCCATAGTAGTTGTACTAGTATATACTTCCCACTAACAATGTAGAAGAGTTTCTTTTTACTTGTAGCTGCTCCAGCATTTTATTTTATTTCTTGATGATAATGAGTCTTTCAGGAATAAGGTGGAATCTCAGTGTTAATTTATATATTTCTAAGAACAGATGCTGTTCATGTGTTTATTGGCCATTTGTACTTGGGAGAAGTGTATTCATTTCAGTTGCCCATTTCTTGACTAGGTCTTTTTATTTTGGGGGCCTGTTTTTTGTTTTTGAGTTCTTTCTGTACTCTACATATTAGTCCTCTATCCAAGGAATAGCTGGCAAGTTTTTTTTTTTTTTTCCCATTTTGTAGGTTGTCTCTTCACTTGTTTGATTTTCTTTGCTGTTCAGAAGTTTTAGTTTGATATAATCCCATTTATTGATTCTTGATATTTTTTGTGCAATTGGGGTTCTGTTCAGAAAATCCTTGCCTAGCTACAGTGATAAAAATCAGCATGCTACTGGCACAGGCATGTGATCAACTGAACAGAGGATGCAGAAACAGCCCCAGGCACATTCAGCCACCTGATCTTTGACAAAGGGGCTAAAAATATGATGAAGGGAAGATAGCCTCTTTAACAAATGGTGCTGGAAAACTGGCCATACAGATGTCCAGGACTGAATCTAGATCCGTTATCTCTTACCATGTACAAAAAAATGGATCAAGTATCTAAATATTAAAACAATCTGCAGGAAGATAGTGTGTAAACTACTCTCCATTTGTAGCACTGGAAGTCCTACATCTTAGAAAAGCCCTAAGTCCCAGATAAACTAGGATTGCTGGTCACCCTAAATGGCAGTTATTTATGTGATGATATGTAATCATATTTTATTAAATTTTAAAATCATGTGTTTCTAAAAAATAGCATATAATAGGTTTCCTTATGTATGTACTGTTTTCAAGTATGCTTTTTTCACCTGCCAGATCAAATCCATTATGAGCTTTCATTTCAGCTATTACATTTTTAACTGCAGATTTTAATTAGGTTCCTTTTAAAATAAAATAGAACTATTTGTTTATTGATATTCTCTATTTGATATAACATTCCCATCATCCTATATTCCTTTGCATTCCTTAATATGTGTTAATTCTGTGAATATTTGTAATGGGTAAAACCTTTTTGATAAATCCGACATCTGGTTGCTCATAAGCAGTTCCATATTAACTGCCTGCTTTCCTCTGCTCTCTGGGTCATACATTCCTGGTTTTTTTCCATGACACTTGATGGCAGGTTAAGGGTTCACTTCAGTAAGAAAAAGATGAGCCATTCTCCAAAATAGTTACTTCAGTTTCTACTTTCATCATCAATATGAGTGTTCCAATGGCTTTTCATCCTCACCCACACTGCAGTTTTAAATCATTGTAATAGATGTGAAATGGTATATTTTTTGTGATTTTCTCACAGAGAACAAGATGTTGAACACTTTTGTCTAAGTTTCTAATTTGATGAAGTTAATTCCTTTTTTTTTCTTTTATGGTTAGTGCTATGACCTGGTCAAGAAAGTTTTACCTGCCCCCAAATCAAGGATATTCTCTGGTAGTTTTTCTATAAGCCTGAGTCCTACATTAGATCTGTAATTCCTCTGTACTTTTTATGATGTGTGTAGAAACTGAGAAATAAGATAGGTGTCATGCAAAATTAGATACTGAGTTCTACCAGTACTGGTATAAAGACTGCCAACTGAATGAACTTGACTCTTCAGTCAAAAATTGTATACATGTAGGTCTTTGCTGGACTTTTTTTTTTTTTTGGTGCTGGGGATCAAAATCGGGACCTTGTGCTTGCGAGGCAGGTGGCAGAACCACTGAGCTAAATCCCTGGCCCCTTGGACTTTTTATTCTATTCCATTTTTACACTGCTAGATTTAATTTGCTAATAAGGACTTTTATATCTATATTCATAAGGGATATTGAGTTTTCTTATTTTTAAGTTTTATATCATGTATTTCTTAGGAGTCATCTACATACATATTTTTTCATGGGCCATTGATTGCAAAAATCAATTGTTTTGAGATGATTTTTCAGTGTGATAAAAAATTTCTGTCAGATCTATGAAAGTTTCATATTCTTTAAGTGAACAGAAAGCCGAAAAAAAAAAATCCAGGGGAATACTTAAGACGTAAAATGAGTTACCAAGTCAATGTTTTGTTCTTGCTAGTTGTTATTCCTTTCATTCTGTCCATTTCACAGGAATAGGAAGAAAAAAAGAATTCGTATTGATGATTAGGTAAGCTCCAGTAAGTTTCTGAATTATACTATATAATAGAAAAAACTCTGAAGTTCAAACTCCAAGCATAATGAAATTTAATTTAAAACTATTAGAGCAGTTGAAAGCACCTCTAGTATTCTCCATTGTATGAAAAGGAAGACAAGTATCTCTGCCCAATTTAAAAATGTAAGGGAACACATCCAATATATCTCCAATTAAAATCCAAAGGTCAGAGGATAATTTCCAAATATTAGCTTTAATAGTAAAAAACATTATAAATTTCATGTGTATTAAAAGATCTGTCATTTACATAAAAAAGCAAAGTTTTATGTGCACACATTTTTGTAAACAAAATGTCTGAAAGGATAACATTAAAATGAAAATAGCATTTGCCACTGGGGAAGTTAGTTATGTAGGAGTTTTTTTTTTGTAAATTTTTTTCCTGGTTTATTTAAAAATTTTTTATCTTTATTAGTATATGTTTGCAGTACATGCTACATTCTTTATGGTGAGTTGGTACATGTACATTACACATCTTAATTCTTTTTACATCCCTTTTCCTCTTCTCCCTCCATCTCTAAATGCTTTTAAGCAATGGTATGAATTTTATAGAAGTAATTTTATTCCCATATAATTTATATAACTAATATAAACTTTAAAAAATCCTTCACACTAGTGAATCACAAGACTTCATTGCAGTACAGGTAACATAACAGTTAAAATAAATTATAATTTTAAAATAGAAGTGATAAAGAAGTGATATAAATCCTATATTAATCATTTTTCCTATTATCTTTTGGGCAACTTATAAAATATACATTTAAAGCTGCACAAACAGACTTAAGAAAATTACTAGCAAAATCTCATTTTGAAAATTTAAATTTCTTAATTACCTTGCCTGATTCCTTAAGTAAACATTATTTTATCAGAAAATGAATCAAATGTCCTGCGCCTTTAAAATGATTCTTTTTCAATCATACCACTAATGACAAAAAAAGCAGCAATTTGTTAGTAAGTAATGACTTACACCAGGAACCATCTCATACAAAAATTAAAAGAAAAATGGCAAGTCAAAAACTATGCCATGTAAGTCAGGCAATAATAGATGAATATTTTTAAACTATAAAGGCCTTTAAAAGAAGACATTTCAAAAAGAATTATAAATGGCTAAAACCAACACATGTTCACTAACAGCCAAAACAAAATAATTGAGATTCTTTAAAAAGATGACAATACCAGTACCTATGTATTGCTGATGTGGATTCAATGGTACTCTTGTGTTGGTTCACTAAATCGGTAGATTTCTGAAGCACAATTTGATTATCAGTTATGGAATGCCTTAAAATGCCTCGTTATTTAATAATAATTCATTCTAGTTAAGACTTATTAACTTATTTATGAACAGAGTAATTCAAATAAGTATAATTTAAAGATATTTTTATGTTTCAGAAGTATAAGACTGAGCATGCTTCCCTAAGTTAATCAGTTACAAGCAGGATTTCTCCAATTCCCTTTTAAAAATGAAAAGCAAGTAGAAAGAAATAAAAAGAAGCACATTGAATTCTTACTACTCCCATGCATTTAATTCTTTCAAACACAACAGAATCCAGAATCCGGAAGGGCTGCCTTTCATGTCACCAGAAGGTAGAGTGCAGGGGATGGGGACAGGGAGGCCCACTCTTCTGTAAACCCCACCCTCCATTAGAGAGAATAAAGAGCATCAGCTTTTTTTTTTTTTTTCTTCAAGCAAAGCCACCGAGTGTGACTATATTAAAATCTCATTTTAGTCCTTTCTTATAAAGTTTATTCAAACTTCTTTAATTAGCGATTTAAGATCTAGGTGATCTTCTTCTATGAGGGATTCTGCTTGATTCAAAGCTTTTATTTTCATGAGAATAAGAATTATTTCCTTGACTTCATTGCTGAAAAACAAAACACAAAAGTATTTCTCCCCCCTTAAAAATGCAATATATCAGGGCTGGGGATATACCTCTGGGGTAGAGTGCTGCTAAGTCCATGCTCATCAGTCTTAAAACCGAAGCTTTAAGCCATTATCTAAAATTGTATAAAATACAGAAATGCTACCTTCTTTAAGTCACACACTGCACAATGAGACTTCAGTCAGAGGAACTGTGGGAAAATTCCAATCACAGACTGACAGACACTGCAGCCATCCTAATGTCACCTTGCAACACATTTCTCGCGTTTGTGGTGATCCTGATATGAACGAACTTACTATTCTGCCAGTTGTATAAAGTATAGTCATACAATTATGTATATTAATCCTTGGTAATAAATGTTACTGATTTATGTATTTACTACACAGTACTATTTCATCATTATTTAGACAGTAATTCTACCAAGTTTATAGTAAAACAGTCTGCTGTTATGGCAGTAGCAGCCTCCTACATTTCATGTTTCCTCAATCTCTTGACTGCATCATTTTCTTTTGTGACTGGTTTAATCTCACATTGTTTTATTCATCATGTTTCTAGGAGTGAGATGTCTGCCTGCCTCTCTGCCTGCCAGCCTGCCAGCCTTCCAGCCAGTCAGCTTGCCTGCCCGCCC